TTTTTTGTTCACGAGCCGACTGAAAAGAGACTACACATATAATGTACGCTACACAAGTTTTAGTTGTTATTATTAGAAAAGTTGAATGTTATAACAACACGTTTGCCTACCCATTAGAATTTCACAACTTTGTATCTTGTAAAATCTAACTACGTAGTATAATAACATCTGTATGTTATGGTGGCATAAAAGCAAGTTTCACCTATTTCTCAGTTAATCCCTTATACCTGAGGTGCATGAAATGGGGACTCTTTAGTTTGACCGGCGGTTGATAGAGACGCTCAGGTGTGAAAGATGTAAAAAAAATGGCCAAAAATGTGAAAGCCTTTTTTGGTCGTTTTTTAGGGTTCCGTAGCCAAATGGCAAAAAACGGAACCCTTATGGATTCGTCATGTCTGTTTCTCTGTCCGTCCGTATGTCACAGCCACTTTTTTCCGAAACTATAAGAATTATGCTGTTGCAACTTGGTAAGTAGATGTATTCTGTGAACCGCATTAAGATTTTCATACAAAAATAGAAAAAAAAATTTGGGGGTTCCCCATACTTAAAACTGAAACTCAAAAACTTTTTTCCATCAAACCCATACATGTGGGGTATCTATGGAAAGGTCTTCAAAAATGATATTGAGGTTTCTCATATCATTTTTTACTAAACTGAATAGTTTACGTGAGAGACACTTCCAAAGTGGTAAAAAATGTGTGTCCCCCCTGCAACTTCTAAAATAAGAGGATGATAAAACTAAAAAAAATATATAATGTACATTACTATGTAAACTTCCACCGAAAATTGGTTTGAACGAGATCTAGTAAGTAGTTTTTTTTAAACGTAATCGTAAATTATGTTACTTGCTGCTACGGAACCCTTCATGGGCGAGTCCGACTCGCACTTGGCCGCTTATTTACACTGCCGCTTAGACATCTTCGTATATTCAATAAAAGTTACTGAAAAATAACATCGGCAGACACCTATGGCGGTCATGGCAGACGGGTTGACAAGTACAATTTTGTTTTATTTTTGTTCGGAGGAAGGGCCCTTGTCTGAGTTTTATATAACTCATAAAAAAAGAAAGTCTGTCCTTGGTAACGGTTATACCAAATATTTTTAGTGAATTTTTGTAGATTGGTAGAGAAGCAAGATGGAATCCCTGAAATTCATCAGATTCCTGAAGTAGGCAGTTCATAAGAAGCTGTGATTCCTATAAATATGGGTCGTCCATGTTTTTTTTTTATAATAAAAAAGGTAAAAATATGTCGGTCTAAACAATTCGTTTTGTATACTACTACTTCAACTACTGCTACTGCTGTTCAAGTTACTTGTTAAGAATACGGTATTAATATCAGTGGCGAGTACATCACTCACATTTGATTTGCCGACAACATAATGTATATGGCCAAATCACTGGAAGTCCTAAACACAATGCTCAGTGACCTCAATAGTGGCTCCCACGGAATAGGTCTTAAGATGAATATGGACAAAACAAAGATGATGTGTAACGTCCATGTCACACCTATGCTGGTAGTTGTTGGGAGCAATAAGCTCTAAGTTATTGACGAGTATGTTTACCTGGGACAAATAGTCCAACTTCGACCGAGAGGTCAATCGAGGCGTCTCTATATAAACCGCCGGTCAAACTCAAAGAGTCCCCATTTCATGTACCTCAGGTATAGGGCATTAACTGAAAAAAAACGTGAAGCTTATTGAAATACCGAAAGTCTGCTGCTCACTAGCTCTTAGACCATAAACAAAAACGCCCATAAAATAAAATGTAATACAATTATTTAGCCGCTTACTATCGTGTAATCTTATAAAGAAACATACGAATAACGCTATTCTAACAAAGTTGTTCGAAACTATACCTTTTTATCAAAATTCGTGATTTTTTTCATACTTTTAGAGATACGGTAAAAAGTACCTACATCGAATAAAATTAATTCGAGTGCTTTGCAGCACCCATGGTGGCCGTATGAGGAAGCTCAAGGTCGCTCAGCGAGCTATGGAGTGGGCTACGCTCGTAGTTTCTCTGCGTGATAAACTTAGGAATGAGGATATCCACAGTAGAACCAGAGTAACCGACATAGCCCAACGGATTAGTAAGCTGAAGTGGCAGTGGGCCGGCCATATAGCTCGAAGAACCGACAACCGATGGGGAAGAAAGGTTCTTGAGTGGCAGCCTCGTACCAGTAGGCGAAGTGTAGGGTGACCCCCCACGAGATGGAGTGATGACCTGGTAAGATATGCAGGAAGTCGATGGATGCAGGTGGCTCAGGACCGTGCTTTGTGGTATTCCTTGGGGGATGCCTATGTTCAGCAGTGCACTTATGAAAGGCTGTAATAATGATGATGATGATGATGCAGCACCCATGGTCACGGGGGGACTGAGGTTTTTGAAGTCCGTAGCCTTAGTATCAGCATCTTCCTGATAACAACTCAAAACTACAAAAAATTGCAATTGCCAACCCGCTTGCTAAGCGTCGCAACTAAGGCAAAATCCGCTGCTCACTGCTCAACGTAGGGCCTATCCATAGACTGCCTCATAGGGGGATATTTGTCATAATTGCCACGCTTGGCAGGCGGGTAGGCAACCCATAACCCACGGAACGATATGGGGTTTTTGATATACGTACACCGCCACTACACGGTGGTCCTGGTCATATTAAAATTAAAATAAATGTTTATTTGCTTTCCAAAGAGGAAATTTATAGTTAGTTGCTGGAGTCTTTTTTTAAGCAAGTAAATAATAAATATGCTTTTGCCAAGAAGATATTATATGTAGATATATTGAATATACGGCTAGACATTGACAGGTTTGTGACTACAATAACAAAGTAAAGTTACAGCCTATACTGGTATTTTATGACTATTATTTTTTAGAGGGTTTTAGGGCAAGGAAATGTCTGCCGCTCTGCCCCAATGCTTTTTAGCGTACTTAACATGTCTTCGAAATATTGTTTTTAATTTGTCGAGAAAACGTGAATAATGCAGGTCTCAGACCTGCATCTTCGAGACCTCCATTATTCACGTTTTCCTTCACCGCGCATATTTAGGACAAACGCTTAACCCCAAAGCTACGACGCTTCTTCCACATTCAAAATCACACTTAATTAAAGAATTTAAGTAACAGATAATAATTGCGAGATTCATTTAAAAAAAAAGAGTTGTGGCGGACAACTACAACAGAATCATACAACAGAGACTATCCCGTAGTACCTATTTACGAACTTAAGAAAAAATAAACAGAGAAGCAAAAATCAGTCGGATGGAACACACAAACTGATCCCTGGCTTCAGTTGCATTAAAATTTACATATTTTCGCTTTCTATTTGCAACCCCTCTTTGATGTCCTATGTCCTTTTGAACGTTGTTTCTGTCTTATGAGAATCGATCTATGTGCGGTATAAAAATGTTTGTTTTTGTTATATCTAGAATGATAGTTTTTATTTCTTTATAAAACTGAAGGGACAAGCAAAGTTATAGCCAACCTGATGGTGGCCACATGCAATCAGATTTATATCAAGAGGGCTACAAATGCGTTGTCATTCCTGAGGACTAAGATGGTTATGCCTCTTTTCCAGTAAAAAGGGTCTCCGGTTTTCTACACTCACCATACGAAACACAGCAGCATTAAGCTGCTATTTTACGCTGGTATTCTGTGAGAGATTCATGCTGCAACCACAATATAGCTGCAGCATAGCTCTACCAGGTAAAAAATCATCATCATCTTTATCAGCCCTGCTAAGGTCAATAGTCTAAGTCAAAGTAAATTTGCCATTATTGTCATACTATTGACAAACAATTAGCGACACTGTTAAATCCTCGTAATTTAATTACATTTAAAAGACTAAGCTGTTGAACTTAATAAAGAGTTGCATTATAAACTTTATTTGTTTACTTTTACCGCACATCAATTAATATTATAGAAGTATTTGCTTTATATTTACCAAAAAAAAAAACTATAATTGAATAATGTAACTGTCAACAAATAAGTAGACCATAGTTACAGCGATAAAATATGACTTAGTGAGCAAACACAATATACACGCCTGATTGCGTCGCGCCGCCAGTCTATCCAAATTACTGGGTATGTTTGAACAAACCTTATTGATACAATATGCTCTCAATAAAGTTGACTTTAAGTATCTTGAATCTAGATAATGCACTTTACGCTATGTAAGAATTAATGGCAAGTTTTAACACGTTTATGATTAGGTTTTTTTTTAAACTTTATCTTTACCATAACAAGTAATGTTATGGAACAATTAAACCTGAATACAATTTTAGTCTTCTATATATATTTAAGCTTATTGCTATTATATACGATGTGTTTATTAGCTTCACTCTTAAACAGCACAATTATAATGCAGCAACGAAGCGGTAGTAGGTACTAAAACACGCTGTGGGCAAAAAAGTGCTAAATATGGTCTATTAGTGCTAAGTTGGTTGCATTGCCGCTCTGGCGTCGACCGACTCGTTTCATGTCACGGATTTTTATGATAATACAGCCTCCTACGCAACTACCGGCTTACTGCCACCCAAACGCGTCTTGTGGTCACGCTTTTGGACTCTTATTTTCATCATTATCCGCATTGTCATGAATCCCCGGCACTAACCGGATTAACAGTATAGTAACAATTTTTACCCAAGACATCCAACTTACTTATATGTGGTCCATCCTGCTTATTAAAGAAAGGGGCTAAATAAAACATTAGGGTGAACAAAATTAATTTACTTATATGGTTATAAGAAAACTGCGCGTCACGCTTTCAAATAAGAAGAGAGAAACTTGGTCACGCTATTCTGATAGGTACTTTCACATGACATTTTTTTTGATATACAGTAACAATAAAATTTATGGGAGATAATTTATAAAAGAATCAAAGTATTGTTATGTATGTAGGTATATATTTTCATATTTAATTAACACTAGTAAATGCAATTTTACAACTTTTTACAATGTCCTTATTTCTATTAAAGTTTTAGTATTTTGAAACCTAAATTTATTATTATTTGTAAAAATTAATAGGCGGCAGATAGCTTTTCACTGACGGGCCTGCTCGACCTAAAGGTGGTAGTTTGAACGAATCTAAGTTTTGTATTCGAGATGCACTTTGTAATTTACTGTTTTTTTCTAAATTGGGAGTTTTTGTGTTATTGCGATGTAAAACTTTGTAGTTTTTTATTATTCCTCGTAATTCTTGGTCATGTGGATGAATGTGATGGATAAAATTTTTGAAAGTTGGTTCATTAAATAAAACTTTATTCTCTTCACTGTTAGTGTTAAAAGTCGAATCGGTGGCTTGACTAAAACTATTAATATTAAGCGGTGACTTACTCCTATTTCTTAATTTATTTGATTCGAAGATATTTTTGTTGGACACATAGTTAAGAACGTCGGATATATTAAATGGCTTGTTCTTAACAAGTTGCTCATTATAAAATTTCAATTCATTATTTATATATTTTGATGAATTAAGTGTGTTTGCGTATGATGCACCTTTTGTATTGATGTCAGGTTGTGATTGTTTAGTAAAGCCATCTTTTCGTGGATTATTGGTTTCTGATTTAAAAAGATTTTTTAGAAAAATGTTATTTCTTATGTCATCATTTATATTACTTTCAAGATTATTAGTTTCATGTTTCTTATTCTGCTGCTGTATTGTTTTATTCTGGTTGTATGTATTTAATAATGGCTTGAATTCATTATATTGATTTAAATTATTGTAATTTGTTGGTATAATGTTATTCGTGGCTCGTATTTCATTAATAGGACTTCCTTTTAGTTTGTTGTTTCTTTCATTATTATTTGGAAAGTTAGCATGAGGTTTAAAAGTAGTGTATGGAAAATATTTATTTTCTAAATATGTATTATCTTTAGTTTTATTACTAGTGAATGACACAGACTTTTTCGCTTCGAAAGAAGTGTTTAAAAAATCAATTGATTGTGGCATAGATTCAGTTGTAGGTGTTATGTATCTGATAGGATCATTTGATACAAATACTTTTTCTGTAGATTTGGTTATTAGGTCGGCGTAATGTTGATCACTATTGTAAGTATGATGTACATCCGTATTAGTATCTGATTGTGTTCGAGATTGATCGGGACCATTTAATAAGATTTTGTTGTCCGGTTGCAAAGCCGATAAATAATTATAATTATTATCATTATACTTGTTATTCTCGATATTACTGTTGTATAATTTTAAACTGTCGTCAGATATATTTTTATTATAATAATTATATGCATTTTCTATTTGTCGGTTGGTAATCAGGTCATTATTTGAATCCGTTTGTGAACTTTCTGTTAGTTGGTTCCTTATAATTGTTCTGTATTGCTCTGGTGTCAAATCACTAAAGTTAATTATAACATCCTCTTCTTCACCGAAGGACCTTGATATTGAGTCTTTGGATGGATTTTGGCTACCGATATTACTATTTAATTCATATTGCCGTCTCCATAAAGCTTCAGTATTTTCCTGTTCAGATTCCGTTTGTCTTGACTCGTAATTTATCAACTGCGGCATTGTTGATTTTTGAGGTGTATTTAAAGAAGGTGAGTGGGCGCCTTGTGAAGCTGAAAAAGTAATTTGGGGTTCCAACATGTCCTTATTAAAATTTCTTTTTATTTTCTCTCCAGAAAATTCAGAGCTTACTTTTAAAGGCTCATTAGGACTTGCGATAGGCGTTAAGTTGTTTTGGGAATTCGATCCTTGAGAAAATCCCAATGAAAAAGCTTCTGGTGTTCGTCCAGTAAATAAGTGTTTTTGCGATGATAAGGAATTTTTTTGGTTATTTTCAGTATTTTTTGCAGTGTTATCGCTTCCATCATCATAAAAATCGTTAAGAAGCGACGGTTTTTTAGCTTCTTCGGCAAGATTATATTGAATTGATCTATAAATAATATTAATATTATTTAAGTATTGAAAGATGATATAAAGAATGTAAATGATCTTATGTAAATGATATTTAAGAATTAATAACATTATATGCTTATTTTTGTTAACTGATTTTGAATATAATAGTTACAAATATATATCTATCGTCGATTATGACGTCACACATCAAAAATATCGAGAAAAATTACAATAAAATAATATTGATTTTATAACAAAAAATCACTTCATGACACAACACAAGTATTAAGTGCACCAAGATCGTCCATATTCCGGTAATATGAAGCTTGAATATCATGTGCAAGAAAAAAAAACATAAAAGGACAGAAATACTACTCTCTTTATTTCTCGCAATTCTATAAATTATGTCGTTTAGTTGACTATCATTAATATCATCCTTAGAGTTCATCACTAGTACAGTGCTGATCAAAGGCTTTAGAATGATATAACGAATGATTGTTCATTCCCGATCAAACCCTTAGAATGATATAACGAAACAGTGCACCAGTCCGCTATCGTGGGCTTCATTTGAATGTTAAAGTAAATAATTCGATTTTTATGATTTGGATAAACATTTGTACTTGTTCCACAATGTTTACTAAAGATGCCGTGAAGCGAAACAGTTCGGTTGATAATTTGTGAAACAAGTACAAATGTTTATCCAAATCAAATAAATTGTGCTGGAATTTCACCAAGAGACAACAATCGCAAGTATAAATCATTGGAGTTACCATATTAAAATATAAAATACCTTTGTATAATCTCTGGTATCGGCGGTGCTACTGGCAAGTGATCACCAGTAGCTCGAAATCCATTTGAATCAGCAATATAATGCACAGTATATGTTTGTCCATTATCGCCAATATATGAATATGAACCTTCAACTATTTGAGCCTCTTTGTCTGTACCTAAATTTTCCATACGGCTGTGCTGCACATAGTGGGTTTGATCAGCTCCTAAGGCCCTGTAATATAGAAAAAGGAATCAGACTTTTCATCAGTGTCGTAATTATCTCATCGTCATTTAGATATGAAATATACTGATATATACGTATTTTTTATACGTGGTATAGCCATGTTGCAGCTATATTAGTAGTATAGTTGTAGCACGAATGGGTTGGCTCGACCGCGGAAGGACCAGGCTCTCACAGAATACCAGCGTAAAATAGCAACTTAACACTGCTTCGCTTAACACTGTTACGTATGGTGGGTGTAGAGAACCGGAGACCCTTTTTACTGGAACAGAGGCATTCCATCTTAGTCCTCACGGGTGACAACTCATCTGCATTTTGATTCTTTATTGAGGATAGATGTAGATATCTATGGGTCACAGCAACCACTTACCATCAGGTGGCCTGTGTGCTCGTTAGTCACCCTATTCTATATAAAAAAGAAACTCTTCTAATTCTTAAGTTATGTCAGAATTGCACCGTTTAAACCCTTATGGTGTTCCGCCTTCGTCTCAAATTGATAAGGCCACGGGTACGCTTTCGCATATTTCCGCGGTTCCACTAGCGCTGCCTGTCCCATGTCTTTTCAAGAGGATAACCCCCGCCACTTCTTCTCTGGTAAGGTGCATCAGAACACAAGGGGCGCCTTCCTCTGCGGCCTCCGTATTGCGCTAGGAAAAACGAGCACTCAGAAGTATCAACCTTTCAGCCGATCACAGCGTCGGATCTGGTCTATGGACCCGTCACCAACTAAGTTTCGGCCTTGGAAGCTAAGGAGAGCGGTGCCTCACAATACCGACTCTCCTCATTCTCGTAGCTTCACTATCACCGCATCAAGGGTGTGATCCTGCTAGTCTCGGGGCTAAGTCTAGATAGGTATTATAAATTAAGATATTAAAAATGAATTCTTGTAATACTTACTCGTAACTGAAGCTTCCATCTAAATCCATTTCATTAGATAGTCGAAGTATGGGTATTGCTGTTTCTGTCGTGGAATGTATTAATATCGACTTTGGAGGGGAAATAAAGTGTTCATTACGAAATGATGCTTTTTGGTCAAGTTCTTGGTTCATTCCGTTTTCTGCTGAGACTGACACACTTCTGGTTTTTGCTTTTTCAGCTGGTTTTTGATTTTGCAGGCTTGTAGATTCTTTAAATGTCGAGAATTGTCTTGGGTGTTTTGTATCTATTTTGACTTCAACTGGATGATTGTAATTAATCACACTTGGAATGGCCTTAACTGTCCTTTTCTCGGCTTCTTGTATGTAATTTGATTTGTTAGTCTGATCATTAAAAATTTGGGAAGAAGGCGTTGGCGACGACACGTTAATTTTAATACCGTCTTTATTGTTGTCGATATCAAATTTATCATCATAATTCATAGTTGAAGTTAATATGATTCCATATGGAGTAGTATATACATTTGGTATGTTTGTGATATATGACGAGGGCAGTTTAAATGGGAATTTATTAAAATTATTTTGATCTAAATGTGAGTTAGAAGTATAGAACTCTGGTGGTAAATAAATAGAACTATCTGATGTGAACATTGAATTTGGCACAGAATACTTAGGTAGAAAAGAATTTTGCTCTTGTTGCACTTTTTCTCCGCTTAAATCAGTAGCCAAATTTAAATAAATAAAAAAATACAGCTGAAAAAAAAGTACACTTTTTTAATACCTGATTATTGACAGTGACAATTACATCGGGTCAAAATAAAAATTTGCACAATCACATTTTTCGTATTTTCTCAAAACACATACGACTCTCACTTACCAGCTTCATATTTCCTGAAGCTATGTAACTTATGCGTCTCGATATCGCGTCACTCTTTCACACAATTAGAAAATAGACTGGTAATGAAAATGAATTCCGCATACATTTATACGCACGCAAGATCGTGTTCAGGCATTCGTGAAAATCTTGCTTGCTCTTAATTTTGTTTTCTCCTTTATTAATGGTTCTTATTTATATTGACAATATCCCTTTGAATTCCTGTTCCATACCAAATTTGGAAAAACTGAACATGCTATATAATGATGACATAATGTCCAGGTTATCTTACCAATGTTTTGAAATAGGTCACAATTTAATTCTTTTACGGATTCGGGTCGTCACCTTATATGTGTTATCCAGTTAATTTAACCTGATAAATATCTTGTAGTATTTATGTCAGCAGATGTATGTGAATGAATAATAAAAAAGAGGATGAATGTTTGCTTTACTCCGCGTCATGCTTCATTCAATATCAACGACTTGACAGAGTAATGGCTAAGCATTTGGTTTCGACGTTGGGAGTGGCGAGTTCGATTTCCGCACGGAAAAAGTACTATAATCTTCTCTATATATAAAAATCAATTGCTGTCCGTTAGTCTCGTTAAAACTCGAAAATGGCTCGAACGATTTAGATTTAAAAAAATGCGTGAGTGTTGTGGAACGAAGTTCCTTGCGTAGTATATTATTATTGATAAACGTAGGTATTATATTATTGATTAACGAATACAAATAAATGAATTACGAGCGTCTATTAAAATGAAGCGTCATTTGAAATATAATAATATTTCTTTCATGGCAAGATAAGAAAAAGTGCGAGGGAGATGGATATTATTCCATCTCACTTCCTTATTTCGCCGCCAAGGCCGTCTACACTATGACACAAGGGGTAGTAACGAAAAAAATCTTACACTTTTTGTCGCCTAGCTCCCATACGCCAAACCCGTACCGTCCGATAAGGAATTTCGTTCCAAAAATTGTGTGAGTTTGAGTGGGTCTCTATTCTCTAGATGCTTTAGTTTCACAATTAGACCAGGTATGTGGCGCTGTTGTCGAGATCCAGAAATAACACGTGCGAAGCGGGGGCGGATCGCATGTATGTCATACAAATAAACGTAATTTTTCCAAGTCTGGGTCTTCTAGTAGTCTTTGTTCGTGTGACATTTAGGTATGTAAGACTCATCCACGATACATAAGAAATTTCTGGCCTTTAATAAATAAAATAAAAAAGGAAATAAGGATTCTATAGAATGCGTTCATTTTGTATTTTTCGCGGCCAGGTTGTAAAGTATTTTAAAGTAGTTGACCATTTCGCGAAATGGTATTTAATGAAATTTTACGCAAATCAATGACCACACGTGAAGGGACAAATCGACAAACGTTGACATGCGATATGCGAGATTATTACGAGTATAATTTAGTAATGATTGGCTATATCATGAGATGGTTGCGTTTAATGAAATGGATGGACACTTTATGTTATAATCAATTTTAGGATCAGGTATATAAACATGGCAGCTTATTGCGGTGCTAATTAGATTACTATTGAATAAATAACCTAATAAGAGACGTGTGGGCCGGATTAAAAATCTGTAAATACTGAGGCCGGTCCATTTGGTGGTTAGTTTATAAAAAATATTTCTCTCTTTGCTCTTTTTTATATTAGTTTAATACTGTTGTTTCTATACTAAACATTTCATAAATTCTGTTGTTTTTTTATGTTATAATATAATCAGATATTCAGGTTTGTTCTAAATGTTGGTTTTATTACTATACAATCATCATATTACTAAATTTTATAAGGGTTAGTCAAAGTAAACGTTTTTTACCATTTTAGTTCTAGGCTGTATTCTCCTATTACCCAACTGCTTTTGTTTTCTCGTCGTAATTCAACGGAATAGCAGTTTTAAATATGATGGATAAAAATCGAAATATTTTTTTTCTTAGCATTCTGTTTTCATACTTTAATTGAGTTATAAACTTTTTAAAATGCTTTAGTTTCGTAATTATAAATTGTAAGTCACCAATGTGAGTATCGTAGGTAAAATGTTATGATGAAAACAGTTCTACCTAATTTACATAATATAAAATTTTTATATACGAGTATTCATATATCATAACTCGATTATAATCAATATGTGATGGATTAAAATCAATTTAAATTTATTGTGCATTAAAATTATTCGGCACGAGCAAACAGAGTGCGATCACCTCAGCAATGAAATTGTTAATTGTAATTTTAAATACTGATTGTTGATGGGAGTGCTCGGCGGTAAAGAAAAACATCGTGAGGAAATTCGTAAAGTAATAGGCCTCCTTTTGTTACTAAGACGGTTTTAGGGCAAGGAGTGTCCACCGCGCTGCCCCAATGTGTGTTGGGGAGCTTCACATGCCTTCGAATATTTTTTTTTATTTATTTGTTCTTGTTGATTTCCTCGCGACGTTTTACTTCACCGCCGAGCACGTGATAAATCATGTGAGCTCACACTGTAAATTTTACAGTACGCGCGTAATCCGGGTTTGTTTCCCGTCCGCAGCAATGCAATTGTTGATAAATATTTTATTTTAAATACACTTTTTAATTTGCAATATGTGCTTGATGAATGAGAGGAAATCTGTGGATTTTACTCCGCTCTAAAACAATGTCATCAATGCTAAGAGGTCTTATCTTAGTAATGGTACGTATGTTGGCTGCTACTTTAGTATTTTAAATAGTTTTTAGTCAAATAAAGTAAAGAATAAGCATCTTTATTGTTAGTATTTTACTGTTCTGATCAAGATCACTAAGACTTTCAATAAATAATTCTTAACAAGTGGTAAAATTAAAAATTTTGTGTAACCGACTTCAATATAAATAAAATGAAAACATCATCAATGTAGTAATAAGGTCAATAAAATACGCATTATTAAAAATAACTCAAAAACTACTATTCAGATCTTGATCAAATTTATATGACCACATAAGAACCACCAGGTTTCAAATAAAAATCATCAAAATCGGTTCTCCTTGAAAAAACTTCTGAGGTAACACACAAAGAAAATACAATTGAATTGAGAACCTTCTCCTATTTTGAGGTCAGTTAAAAAAGTAAAAATGGACTTTCAAAACCAACAAGAATAAAATAATTCCCACATAATAGCTTCTGAAGTCGGTGGTATGAAGCTGTGTATCGAAGAATTAAGGCCCCAATTTCTATCAATATTATGTGGAGGTTATTGTTTTCTGTTTAGTTTAAAAGTCAGTTTTTTATTTTTCACTTTAGTTTTTTTACCCATTTGGGCTAAGGAATACCACAAGTTCTAGGTAATAGAGTGTCGTCTTAATAATTACATTAAAATCCTCATCCATTATTTTCCACCCTTAGGGATGGAATTTATTCTTCAAATTGGGAACACCCCGAATCATAACCATTTTAGTAATAATTAAAAATTAAAAATTTTGTATAACCTAATTCATTATAAATTGTTAAGAATAACTCAACTCTTGGTCAGACCGTGATCAAATTTATATGTTACCACATGAGAAGCACCAGCTTTCAAATAAAAAAAGAATCATCGAAATCGGTTCACCTAGAAAAACCATAAAACGTAACACACATAAAAAAAACTTTAGTCGAATAGAGTACCTCCTACTTTTTGAATTCCGAATACAAAAATCTGTTCATACACAAAAGAAGTTATGTCCGAATATATAAAATATATAAGTACATACGAATGAATTAACAACCTCCTTTTTTTAACAAACTCAAAAGTTAATGAATATCTAGAACCAAATATCACACTGTGACAGTGAATGTAGTATTACTTTATCTATTACTCTATCTATTAGTATTTTCAGTTTTATGTCTTATTTTACTCCTAATTTTGGCTTATTTTACTCCTATTTTTAAATTTAAATATTTTTTAGATCGTCTGAACGATCTTTTTGATCTTATTCTTTATTTCCTTCAATATTTTTCTGTGTGTTATATGAGAAAGTCAAAAAGTAACTCACCTCTTTCGTTGATGTTAGTGCTTCCCCATGCTGTGTGGTGAGCATTAGCATCACATCCCACCACAAGTTCGGCGTTGTGCTTACGGGCGAACTCCGCCACTCGCTGTAACTCGATGGCAGGATCGGGGTTCTCTCCGAAGATAGGCTGAGCAAATGATTACTCTGGCTCCTGTGCATCCCTTAAGATTTATAAATGCTGTAACCAGGTCATCATTGCAACACTCTGAAACAACAAAAAGTTCAATATTTTTATTGTAGATTATACAAGCTCTGGGTCTACTGCCTTTAGTATTGACTAAGATCTTAACGGCAGCCGACAATCCCAGCACTTGACCGTTGGCCAATCTTCCACCATGGCAGAAGCAGCTGCTGCATGGTGAAGAATTGTCTGGAGGACCCTCGTCTACCCTTGGGGTTGGCCATTTGTAGGCGTGGAGGAGGGAGGGGGGGGGGGCAGGAGTCGTTTTCGCCTGCTTATGACGAAGACGTCCTTTACCAGCGCTCTTGACCCCCGCCGTCCCTTTTGGTTTACCGCTCCCACCTTCCTTGCCTTTACCACTGGCCGACACCAGCGAAGGCACTCGAACCGAGGCGAAAGCAGCGCCTTGTGTCAAAGTCACTCTCGCTGATGTCGTTCCGTTACCGTCTCACCCCTTGAGGTGGAGTGCTAGGGGGATTTGAGTTGGGGCGGTTCAGGCTCCATTTTTTTATAGGATAGGATGACAAACGAGCACACAGTCCACCTGATGGTAAGTGGCCACTGCGACCCATATATATACATCTATCCTCAATAAAGACTCAAGATGCAGATGCGTTGTCACCCGTGAGGACTAAGATGGAATGCCTCTTTGCCAGTAAAAAGGGTCTCCGGTTCTCTACACTCACCATACGAAACACAGCAGCGTTAAGCTGCTATTTTACGCTGGTTTATTTTACGCCATTGCAGCAGCGCCTCCCCTGACCTTAAAGTTATCATTTTAAAGCCAAGGACGACTCTACCGCTCTGCTGCTCGGAGAGCCTCCGCCGATGGGTCGTGGAGAGAAAAGGTTATTAGGAACCCATTCTCCTCGTTTCTACGATAGAGGATTTTCCAGAGCTCGGTATGGAGCCCTTCATTTTGTGCCCTCAACAGCACAGCTGCCTTCTCTGGAGAATCAGATTCGCTGCGGGGCAGAAAGGTAATGCCCAGTTGAGGCTTAGGCAGTTCGCTCTCGGGTATTATCGAGAGCTTTGCCTCCGGACAGGTTTTCAGTTTTCCGATCTCACCCACAATCCAGTCCTGGCTTGCCAATCTGGCTGGTGAAACTCGAAAATTTTGGTCCCATTCCCGGCTCCACAGGCCGTCTTAGCAATAGCCTGCGTTAGTGCTCGGTGGACCAGCCGCATCTGTTCCATGCCCATAGTATTCGAATTGCGAATTCCTACACGCGCAGAGCCAGCTACGGCACTGAAGCTGAGCTTCTTCTCTCCTATTGCCAATTTCACAGATTTCCTGGGCTGGTCTTTGGGGGATTCCTACTCAGACCGACAGCGTTTTTTCGCCTTCGGAACTGGGGGAGGTATAAGCAGAGGAATTTCATCCCAGGGCTTCTGGCAGAGAGAGAGAGAGCCTCTTCGGTTCCTGTCTCAGCTGCTATCAGCCTTCGGTACCTCTTCCGTGCTGCCCCACTAAGCTTATAAGGCCTAGTGAACTTCTTTTCCCTTCCCTGGTTCGTTTCCGACTGTGGTTGGGCTGCAGACGTGCTCTCCACTTCTTGGCTTGTCTCAGGTTGTGGCGTAGGGTTTCATGGTGTCGGTGAGGCTAATAGAGTCTTTTCCAGACCTACAATCAGTTCTATTAAAGGAAAGTTAATTTTTTCAAAAAGTGGATCTTCGTCCATTTTGGTCCCACGAGTAGCTAAGGATAAATTCGGTCACGGGTAGGCACCGTTTGCGACTGGACTCCCCCCAGCCACGCATCCATTGGCACGTCACGCTTAACACCTTGGATTGGGTTAAGATAGGAAAAAAGGGGGTGGGATGAAAAGAAAAGAAAATTATGATCGTCTGAGTGTTTCTGTTCTGTCTGTTTCCGAATAATAGGCGGCAACCACGTGAAGGAAGAACTCCTCAGAATTGCCCTGGGGATCAACACGACCTGCGCTCTCCCCCAGAGCCATTTGCCAAACTACGCACCGGACAGGAGAGCAGAATAGGTGTTAATCTAGTCCTCTTGATAATGTAAAAATGTGAGAATTAGTAGTAGACTAACCCCCGCCCTTAACTTAACGTTTAGGTTTAGTCAGTTTTCACCCTCGCGATCACTGAGATATCACTGAACAGTTATCGTCTGGTTGTCATAATCAATCTCATTTTTTGTCGAATCGTCCTGGCTCGATTAGGTCCACTTTCTGGGGGGCCGCTTCTGAAAGAAAGAGTTCATCATAAAGAGTCCCTCTTTCTCCTTAAAGTCGACCAGCTGCTGGCCCCTTGGGTTCCATTTCATTGCCCTATCCCGCATTTCCCTAAATTCAGCTCAGCTCTAGAGGTCAGCTACTCTTTCAGTTAGTCCCGAACTTATGGAAGACAGCGTTGGTGCACCCGATCCCTAAAAAAGGTGACCGCTCAGACCCGTCCAACTACAGGCCTATCGCTATCACCTCCTTGTTCTCCAAAGTAATGAAAATTATTATTAACTGCCAGCTTATGCGGTACCTTGAGGATCACCAGATGATTAGTTACCGCCAGTACGGTTTCCGTCGAGGTCGCTCAGCTGGTGACCTTCTAGGTTACCTAACTCATAGATAGGCGGAGACAGTGGAGTCCATGGGGGAGGCGTTGGCCGTTAGTTTGGACATACCGAAGTCCTTCGATCGGCTTTGGCACAAAGCGCTTCTTTCGAAGCTCCATTCCTATGGGCTTTCCGAGAAATTGTGCAATTGGATCACCAGTTTTCTTGCAGATCGGAGCATCAAGGTCGTAGTAGACAGTGCATGCTCCGATTATAAGCCTATTAACGCTGGTGTTCCACAATGCTGCGTGCTATCACCAACGCTGTTTCTTCTGCATATCAGTGATATGTTGCAAACCGGTAACATTCATTGCTATGCAGACGACAGCACTGGTGATGCTTTATACACCGCCCGTGCCAATTTTTCTCGGGAAAACGTCGTCGAGTACCGGAAAAAACTTCTGTCTGAAGTCGAGACTTTGTTTAACAAAGTCTCAGACTGGGGGCGACTAAATCTAGTCCAGCTCAATTCCCAGAAGACACAAGTTTGTGCGTTTACCGCTAAAAAGAACCCCTTTGTCATACCTCCTCAGTTTCAAGGCACTCCCCTTGTTGCCTCAGCCAGTATCGGAATCCTCGGTGTCGACATATCGAGTGACATGCAGTTTCGTGGTCACTTGGAAGAGAAGGCCAAATTGGCCTCTAAAAAGCTTGGCGTGCATACCAGAGCGGGGCAGTATTTCATGCGGGCACACCGCTTGCAACTTTACAAGGCGCAGGCTCAGCCTCTCATGAAATACTGTTCCCATCTCTGGGCATGGGCTCACCAGTGCCAGCTCCTTCCACATCCGCAACCGCATCCAGCGCAGAGCGGTTCGAATCGTTGACAATTTTTTGATTTTCATGTCTTCAGTTTATTGTCAACTTCCGTCTAGAGCATCCCTAGCTTACTCTGCCATTTACTTCTGCAACTCTTTCAAAACTTATAAACTTCCGAAACATTACTTTCGTAATCGTGGCGGTCTTGTAAACTATCTCTCCCTATTCTTATAGCAAAATCTCTCATTATCGTTTAGTCACATCTAATTTTTTTTTCAAAAACGAGCACACAGTCCACTTGATGGTAAGTGGTTGCTGCGGTCCATAGACATCTACATCTGTCCTCTATTACAAATCAAAATGCACCCGTCAGGACTAAGATGGAATGCCTCATTTCCAGGGAAAAGGGTCTCCGGTTCTCTAGACTCACCATATGAAACACAGCAGCGTTAAGCTGCTATTTTGCGCTGGTATTCTGTGAGCGTCGTCCTTCCCCGGTCGAGCCGACCCATTCGTGCTACAACTATACTACTAATATAGTTGCAGCATGACTCTACTACGTAAAACACGTTTACACAGGGATTAATTTTATCCTCATGGTTCTTCTGCCATTCCCAATTTTAACTACTATAAATTATTGTGACTTGCACAGTAATTGACTAACACAGTATTGTGAAGTGCCATATTTGTGACACATTCTGTCTTTCCACAAAACAGTGAAGAGTCCCATTACCAAGAACAGACAGTGAAAATGTAATAAAAAAGCTTAATGATTATAATATAAAAAATGTACCCAATTGCAAACCTTTATGATGCAAGTTTTGTAATATTCCAAGTCATTGCCCTTTTAAACTGGTTACACTGAAATTGTTGATTCAAGGTCTCAGTCCTAAAATTTAAATGTTCTTTTTTGTTAGAATATTGTCTCCTTTTTTATCTTATCTTATATTTCAGCGACTGTAACTACGAAACAAAAAAAAGGCTTAAAAATGAAGATGCTCTCAATGTGTATTTTGTATTTTAATGCTTGCGACAATAACCTTGGAAATCAAGGTTAGTTTACCGATATAGCTAAGTTTTTACCAATAATACTATACTTACAGTTATATACCACATAAATTTCAACCAGGTTGCTTGATTATTAAGTGGTGAAGCTTGAGAAGTCACTTATTGATTTCACGATGTCTGTCCGTCTGTCCGTCTGTCCGTCTGTCCCACGATTATCTCGAGAACGGTTTCGAATTTTCAAATTCTGTTTTCAGCAATCGATTACTGATCACACAGGCATCTGAACCTCCTATTTTGAAACTGATTGCTCAACGGCAACCGTTAGAAACCGCTACAAAGCTGATTGCTTCGCCACTTTGCTATGCTGTTAGCTTGGCTAGGTTTATTACGGTTAGTTTCTGGATTTTTATCTCTTTTGTTTAGTGTATTTGTTATTCTTGGCCAGGACTTAAAATAAAATTACATTTATGTTACATTATATTTATTTCATTTAAATAAAAGCAAATCACACGCATATTTGTCCTATACAATCTTAATTTAAATTAATAAGCACTTACATACAGCAATCGAGTTCACAATTATTTTTATCGTGAAAAAGATAGCTGGTTCGTCAGCGATTTATAGCGTTGTCGATATTTAAAGATGTAATATATGCACTCATATAGAAAATATCTAACTTTTATTTTAATTTGTCACAAAAATCAAAATAATCACACTAACCATGTTAGCTTTATGATTCGCTTAAAAATATATCGATTTCATTATCACATAAACATATCATTTAACTTTAATACATAATGCCCGTTTCGTGATACCTTTATATACATCAACTATTTTCCATAAGAAGGGTAGTTTGCTGGTGGGTAGTAAGTCTGTTGTTGTTGCTGAGTTTGTTGCGGGTAGTATGTTTGCTGTTGTTGGGGATAATATGTGTTTTGGGGTTGTTGAGGATAAACTGTTTGTTGAGGTTTCTGTGGTACTTGAGGTTGAACTGGTTTTTGATTTTGCGGGGGGTAATAAACCTGTTGAGGATTCTGAGTTTGTTGAGGGTTATAACCTTGTTGAGGGTATTGGGTTTGTGGTGGGTAGTAACCTTGCTGGGGTTTTTGAGTTGGTTTATTTGGTTGGGGTTTATTTTTCTCTGCCTCAGCTTTTGCCGCTTCTTCTTTGGCGTTCTGTTCTATGGATCTGCAAATAAAAAGAAATAAAATAAAATGAACCTTCTTTTAACTTTATCTTAGGTTTTTGTTGCATATGAGTTTTTTATTAAGTTGGTAATTTATTTATTATTTGGTTTTTATTATTATGATATTTATTTACTCAGCTTTCAAAACGATCAAAAGTTTAAACAGATTGTTTCGGATTTGGGGATTTGTGCATGTGCAGTTGACATATTTTTTTTTAGATAACGAGGGTGACAAACGAGTACACAGTCCACCTACTGGTAAGTATATGCTGTGATCATTAGACATCTACATCTATCCTCCATACATCTATATTAGAATAAGAAGGGATCTTTATCTATGATAAAAGGTTTTCATTTCATCATTAGTACAATCACCATACGAACCACAGCAGAATTAAGCTGCTATTTTGCTGGTATAAGAGAGTGTGGTACTTCCCAGGTCGGGACGATCAATTTGTGCTACAACCATAATATAGATGTAGCGAGGCTCTACCACATACGTAAACATATAAAACAACTCTACATATACATGTAACATAACTCTACTCTAGAAAGTTCTTTTTACGCTACGAGTAGATGTTTATGCACGAAAATGGTTGATCGCGGTTTTAAATTTATAATAAAATGAATATATATTATAGCTTCTTTGAACTGATATTTAAGCATTGTTGTGATTGTTACAGCCTATATACGTCCTACTGCTGGACACAGGCCTCCTCTAATTTCTGAGAGGGTTTTAGAGCAAGGAAATATCCGCCGTGTTGCCCCAATGCGTGTTGGCGAACTTCATATGTCTTTGAAATATGTTTTTTTATTTCTGAGACATTGAGGTTTCCTCCGAGCACGTGGTAAATCAGCACTTAAAATTGCAATTAACAATTTCATTGGAAATGGAGTGATAATTAATACGATACTTACGCCTGAATCGCGGGCGGTACTGGAGGAGCTTTTGGAAGATGATCTCCCGTAGCGTGGTAACCAGTGTCGTCAGCCCAGTATGTAACGGTGTAAACTTTTCCGTTACTGTCAGTGAAAGAATACCATCCTTTTTTCACGATGCTCTCGCTGTCAGTATTGTAATTTGTAAAATAACCTTGTTCACCAACATGAGTGCCGTCTCCGATCTCATATCTGCGGATACACCATTTTATGCTGTACTTTATGACTATACGATGCATAGGATTGAGGAAACAAATTTCATAGAAAAAATGGATAAAACTGGGTCATTATTTACGTAAACAGTTATATGTTGAAGTGACTGCTTTTATAGATATACTGCAAAATTTGGTTGTTTGTCGAGATTTTTATGGTACAGTTAAATTGCTACTAATATAACCGGATTTCTGTTAGTTAACATTAAAATTAATTGAATAATATGGTAACCGTTAGTAACTTAAAATCATAAAAATATTCTGTCTATAAACTGTTCAACTTTGGACATTTACATTTACTCCGGTATTTTGAGCCAAAACATAAGAAAAATCAAATAATTTTTAATATACCTACAACCTATTATTATAAAAATATATTTGCACTTTCAAAATATAAATATGTTTGAACTGCTTACTCATATTTGTAGCTGCCATTATCTCCAAACGATTGTTCATTTTTTATCACCGGCACTGATGTTGTTGTTGACGTTGTCGGAGTCTGCGGTTGCTGGTTGTTCCAGTTATTCCAATTGTTGTTATTGTTGTTCCAGTTGTTTTGGGGAGGTACATAGTTATTTTGTGGAGGTACATAGTTGTTTTGCGGTTTGGTCCATGTATTTTGAGGTGGATCATTTTGAATGGGTACGTAGCTCGGTGATGGAGGCACATAATTATTACTACCTGATGGTTGTACGGTACTTTGCGATGGAATATAATTATTTACAGAGGATGGCGGGGTACTTTGCGACGGCACATAATTACTGGGCGAGGGATTCCAAGGCCTTGGCGGCGTTTGAGTAGGAGGCACATAGTAAGCGGGCGTAACTGGGGGTGAATAATATTGGGCGTAATTGTTACGTGCACTTGATTGTGCAGCAAATTGATCTACATTTAACTGTTCTGTAGCTGCTGCTTCTAGATCTTCCAGTTTATTTGTTTCTAATGTGACAGCATGGGCAAGCGCCAAAAAGGCGGCAAAAGTGCAGACCTATTATGAAAAAAATAAGTAGATATTATTGTACAATTTTTCCAATTATTTTTATAAGATATTATTAAGAAAATACTGCAGTATTTATAAATTATAAATACTGGAGTATTTTATATAAAAAAAATTAACAAATTTAATATTATAAATTAGTTAAATAAATAGATATTTATTTAAAAATATTTTTATGAGCACGGTAATTTTATTATTTATAAAGTTAAGAATATTTTTTTAAAGTAACAATTAGGTTTCTAAAAATGATGCTAGCATTTGTGGCGTGTTTTCTTGGTTATTTTATTTTTATTTTTTTAGGCAATGAATAATTGTACTGATCTTTTATTAATATCTATCATTGCGACTTGAGGATGGAGATAAGGGTATAAAACGATATTTTAAGATGTTATGGGTGTACTGTCCGGAACACAGAAAATCTCTAATAAGCATCGCAAACTACCTAAAATATTTTTTTAATTATTTAATTTGATAATATTTCTTAAAATACAAAGTTACAACAGTGAATTTAAAATATGTGTATATAACTCTCTTTAAACTGTCGTTAAAAGTTATAAACCCTATTATGATATGATATTAATACTTAATAATATCTACTCTACAATTGTGACGATAAGAAATAAACGCATGTCAAAAAATAAATTTCTAGCTCTTTGTTATGTAAATAATGAAAAAAAATAACATGTATATCAAATATTTAAACATTTAGATAATGCTTATTACGTATGAGAACAATACAAAATCTTAAAAGAACTTTTAAAACACAAAGCCACGGTCGTATTAAAATAGATTTTAACTTACTTCACGTAACACACTTTAAAATACACTTTAAAACAAAATTTAGTAAGCCCAAAACTTTAAGGAAATTTAAAAAAAAGTTTTTTTAAAAATTTCAAGGACTCACCAGCTTCATCTTTGTGTCCTTCTGAGACCGTAGTCTGCTCGATACTGTGACCACAAGGGGTCGCTCCACATTTTATAGGAAACATCCTGCGTCCGAAGACGCATGCACATTTTTGCGTATGTGCTGAGCAAAACAATGACCTCGGTCTTTGAGGCCGTATCTGATTAATAATTCGAATTAGGGAGAGTGTTTTCGGCTAAGAGACGAAGTAAAAGTATTTTTATTTTATTCCTGGGAGTTATTTAAATTCTTGAAATAAATTATTTAAATAAAATTATTTTAATTCTTGAAATAAATTAAAAAAAAGTATTTAGGAAATTTGTAGTAAGCTAGTAAGATTATTTTTACGTCCTTATTTAATAAAATAGTTATACATCTCTTAAATATTTTTGGAACCATGAAATTTTATTATAGCAATTTTATGAATATCTTAAATATTTTTTTTATAGGATAGGGTGACAAACCAGCACACACTCCACCTGATGGTAAGTGGTTGCTGTGGCCCATAGACATCGACATCTATCCTCGTTTGTGAATCAAAATGCAGATGCGTTGTCAGCCGTGAGGACTAAGATGGAATGCCTCTTTTCCAGTAAAAAGGGTCTTCGGTTCTCTACATTTACCATACGAAACACAGCAGTGTTAAGCTGCTATTTTACGCTGGTATTTTGTGAGAGCGTGGTCCTTCCCCGGTCGAGCCGACCCATTCGTACTACAACTATACTACTAATATAGCAGCATGGCTCTACCGAAATAACAAAGTTAACGCTAAAAAGACTAAACTATTTGTAATTATGCAGGGTTATATTGTGTCATGATTTAAGACGTAAGTTGTCCATGCTGGGCAAAGATAATCTCGATTCTCTACAGTTTCCTTTCCTAGGCGAATTCTACGCAAGCGAATCCTCGGAAAATAGTCGTACGTCAGCTTCGCTATAAGGGCTAAATGTATTTAATTGAAACTTAGCAGAGAGTTCTTTTCTACATCTCTTTTTCCTAGGTGAGTTCTACGCTGGCGTGGCCGCGGGCAATAGCTTTAGCTACAAAGAAATATTTTCACATTTCCCTTTAAATGTTAAAGGTGTATTTTTATTTTCATCTTCCTGTAAGTGTCCACTGCTGAACATGAGCGTCTCCCGTTTCGGAGAGAATATACCTTAATCGTCGACGATCGCGGTATCAGACGTCGCACACCTATGTCGCTGCTGCCCTCGCCAGTCGGGATCTCTAATACATGTTGTTAATCTATGGTCTACATATTATACGTCTGCCGTAATAAAATACTATCAGCTACCGGAAGCTATGAGACGTTTCTGGCATTACCCATTGTCCGGAATAACGCAACTCTGTAGCAACGTCCACGAGAGCAGTGTCCAGAATATATTTATATATTTTTGTCCATTATATAACTATCATAATTTCTTCTGTTATAAAATAGATGTTATATTTATCCTGTTAAGAATCAAAATACAGACGCATCATCACCACTGAGGGCTAAGATGGAATGCCTCTTTACTAGTAAATATGGTCTCCAGTTCTTGTCTCTCACCATATAAGACATAGCGGGATTGTGCTGCTATATCTAATATATATATATATATTTGTGGTATCTTTTTTTTATAGGATAAAGGTGACAAGCGAGCACACAGTCCACCTGATGGTAAGTGGTTGCTGTGGCTCATAGACATCTACATCTATCATCGTTTGCGAATCAAAATGCAGATACGTTGTCAGCCGTGAGGGCTAAGATGGAATGCCTCTTTTCCAGTAAAAAGGGTCTCCGGTTTTCTAAATTCACCATACGAAACACAGCAGCATTAAGCTGATATTTTATACTAGTATTCTGTGCGAGCGTGGTCTTTCCTCTACCGAGTCGACCCATTCGTGTGGCATCTTAGCTAAGCTCTACCAAAGACCCTGGTTAAGCTGCAGGGCCTTCAGACTGGTATCTGTAAGGAAAGGAAGGATTTATCGTCATTTCTTGGCCACCCATAACGTATCCGGTTAATATTATGTTTTCCGGACTTAATTTCGTTTATGGCGGTAATGTCTTAACGAAGACTAGCATTCCGTGCAGGATATGATCATAGTGTTTGGGTGTATGCGTAAGCACAGGTGCATTCTCTATGAATAAATAGAAGTTGTCAAGTATATTTTACCCATTACAAAACAATTTACAATAAGCAAAACCTGCGGGCTTATTCACAACATAATTAGTAAATCCAGAAGTCAAAAGTCATGTTAGTATATTTTAACTTTTCATCTTGAAGCTCAACAGTACTTAACATCAAAGGCTTGTAATCAAACGGCGTAAAAATGACAACAACCTACGAATAAAAAATGAAATATTGAAAAATATATAAAATAAATGAAAATCAGCTTCGTCAAATATTTTATGACGACTTTATCACCCTTCAAGCTATGCTAGACTCTTGTCTCTTCTCTTCTTCTCTTGTGCCTAGTTTTGCGTTGAAGTCTCCCATTAACACCGCTATTTAAATATCACAGAGCTTTTATCGCATTACGTCTATTAGTGTCATCAGTGTCAACACCACACACATTTAAAACCAATTAGCAAAATCAAATTTTTTGGATAGTCTGGGGTGTTTAAAGATATTTTTTCTTGTAAAAAAAAAACGATTTAAAATTTGAATTATTGAATGATTAATTTTCATTCGATAATTTAAATTTTAAAATTAATTAATTAAAAAAAATTAAATGTATGTATATAATAATGATATAATTGTGTTTTTCTTGTGATATATTGGGATATTAATAGAGATTATGCTTTCATTCATTTAATTTTTATTTGTGTAATAAATATATTCGGGCAATAATTCTTAACTTAATTAATTTTAATTTTAATTACCTGTATGTTTTGAATTATAATGTTAATATGTTTAAAATTAAGTTTGCATTAGCGCTATTTAGTTAAATAATAAATATTTCTGATAAGATGATGAACGTATGAATCAGCCAACAGGTTTTTACCTTTGTAACGGTGTAAAAAACCTGAGCGGGCCAAGTTAGGTCGAGCTTTAGGGTGCGTTTCCACTGAAGCGGGTACAAACAGATATATTCCACCGCCTATAAGTAAAGCTCTATTTGTTGTCAGTGGAGAACATGTCACGAATATGTTGGAGTGCATAACAAACTAACTCCTTAAATAACACTGCCCCAAGTGGCTGTAGCCACTATATATACTATCTTATAATATATAGCAGCTAATACAGCTGAGCGGCGACCTCTCGAATTCTACGCTATACTATCTACGCTGTACACACTACCGAAAGTTTTCAAATTCAGATTCAAATATTTTTAATTTGTGAATACAGGTAATGAAACAGAATAGATCTTTAAAATATAGATGTTCGCTGCATTCAACCTTTAGGTATACAAAGATTATAGTCACAATTATATCTGTTACATTTCCACAATTAAATTATTTCATTATATAATTTTTATTACAATTATATTAGAATGTTCAAAAATGATGTGATTATTAATCTCTATTCAGAAATTAGTGTAGAAACTGAGTAACGCACGGGTTGGCTGAGGCGTTCGACGCGTATGAGATATACTTTGGAGTATTCCAAAGTGTATGCTTGTCACTGATCACTGTCCTGAATGGTGACCACTCAAAATTTGTAACAAACGCGCTGCTTCACTGCACACCATGCCGAATGCTAATTCATAGAAGTATATATTGTTATGTACTTACTATATCTTCACTCTGTTCGTTATTTTTGGTGCTGCATCTACTATATTTTTTTAAATTATATTTTCATTGACACTGTTTTCATGAGATCAAATAAGTAATTGTTGTCTATTCCTGCATATTTCTTTCCTCTCGGGTCGTCGTCGTTTCAGTGGAAACGCGCCCTTAAGTCGTCAGTATTGCCACTTTGAATAGCCGTACTAATACGACGCGCGAAATATTAGTTTCGGCAGTTAATGGCGGTACCTCTTAATACTCTGCTAATACTTTAAAAAAGGCAACTTCTCATAAATGGATTGAGGTGAAATAATCCGGGCCTTGGGAGCCTAAGGGAAATTAAAATTATCT